TATGCTAGGGTGAAAAAAAAATATTGCAAAAGTATTGTAAGTTAGTAATAGCTTTTCTTTCAAAAAAACATACGATGATTTAGTAAATTTAAACCAAAATTAATCACTGAAAAAAAAGAAGACAGGGACCTGATTAGCACAAAATGATGCTGCTCAATTAAAAAAAAAACAAACAAACAAACAAACAAAAACACACCAAAAAACATGTAAAAAAATTTAACTTAAATTAAATGTTTAACACACAGCTAGAGCACTGTAAAAAAATTTAGATACATTGACCATCAAATCACCACAGTCCTTTCTATAAAAAAAAGAAGTATGGGGCGCTCTGAGAGGTATGTTGAACATTGCATTAAAAAAAATGGTTATCAAGTAATTAAGTTATTATTGCCTTGTAACTGCCAAAAAAAAGTAACTTGATCTTGGTTGACATTTTGTTGTTTTATGGCAGGTAAAAAAACATTCAGCCAGCTTGTGTATCAAGATGAGAATGATTTGGTAGAAAAAAATGCTATGACAAATGTTTTCTGCAGTGAAATGATGAATTATACAAAAAAAAGTAAAACATAAGATATGTTGGTCCTCTCACATTGTCCATTGAAAAAAATGTCAATAGGATAGGATCAGTGTAAGGATACTGTAGCTTATCAAAAAAACAATTCAGTCTTAATCATTGAGCTATTGTCTTTCATATTGCAGTATTATGCTAAGGAGAACAAGATTGTTGACTATCCTCGATTTCATCACCGTGGTTTCATGATTGACACATCAAGACACTACCTCAAGTTGTCCATCAAAAAAAAATTCCTGGTAGGTCTTCAAGTTTGGTATTGCACATACTATATAAAAAAAAGTGTAACATAACATACAGTGAATGCCAGTGATGTTGTATTTAAAAAAAAGACAACAACAAAGTCATTTGCAAAAATTTTTTCAATCCCCAAAAAAAATTTTGATTTAAACTCCAAACCATACTTGAAACTAGTTGTGTTAAAAAAATTGTCTTTAATTTTTAAAACTCGAAGTTGAATAATCGTACAGAAAAAAAAAATTTAATATGGTACATTCAAATGACTTTATTGCTGTCTTTAAAAAAATACAACTGAACAAATTTAATGAGATTGACTGTATATTGTGATAAAAAAAAAGTGCATATTGGTATTCACAAAGCTTCTAATATTGCTATGCAAAAAAATAAAGGTGGTTGTAAATAAATAGGAATGTTATCCTTTATTATAAAAAAATTCTTGTACAAAAATGTAGTCCAATGAATCAATTCTGTTTGTAAAAAAATTTCAGGATGCAATGTCATATGGCAAGTTCAATGTTCTTCACAAAAAAATTGTTGATGACCAGTCTTTTCCATTTGTTAGCGATAAGTTCCAAAAAAAAAGCGGTCAGGTAAAACAGCAAACAAAGCTAGAAAAACAACAAAAAAAATCAAAACAGACAAATATGCAAATAGTACACAGTTTTGAATTCAAAAAAATGTTTGTTTGGTTTTAGGGTTCGTATAACAACAAGACTCACAAAAAAAATCAAGATGATGTCAATAAAGTAATTGAGTATGCAAGATTACGAAAAAAAAGAGTTGTACCTGAGTTTGATACTCCCGTAAGAAGATATTGCAAAAAAAATTCTATATTACTGTTGTTTTTATTGTTTGGTGATAAGGAGCAAAAAAACAATAGTCTTGTATCTTCTAGGGTCATACCTTTTCATGGCGAAAAAAAAAGAACTTGCTTACAAAGTGTTACAAAGATGGCAAACCTGATGAAAAAAAATCCTTGTCTAACAACGTTGTCAAGGGATTATGTTATGCTTAAAAAAAAGATAATGTGATTTAAAATTTATTATTTTTCAGCGCATCAGAGAAAAAAATTTATTTTGTTGTGTTATAGATCTCTGGGACCAATTGACCCYAAAAAAAAYGCCAACTATGACTTCCTAAAGACATTTTTCACTGAAATTGCTCAACGTTACCCTGACAAATACATGCATCTTGGTGGTGATGAAGTCCCATTTGGCTGCTGGCAGAGCAATCCTGTTATTACTGCATGGATGAAGTCACATGGGATAGCAGGGAATTATTCGCTACTAGAACAATATTATGAACAGAAGTTAGTAAAAAATGCGTCAAATTTGATGATTTTGGTGGTCTATAGCCCATGCATTTTCACCAAAAATGCGTCAATTTATCTTGGTGGTGATGAAGTCCCATTTGGCTGCTGGCAGAGCAATCCTGTTATTACTGCATGGATGAAGTCACATGGGATAGCAGGGAATTATTCGCTACTAGAACAATATTATGAACAGAAGTTAGTAAAAAATGCGTCAAATTTGATGATTTTGGTGGTCTATAGCCCATGCATTTTCACCAAAAATGCGTCAATTTTATTACTGCATGGATGAAGTCACATGGGATAGCAGGGAATTATTCGCTACTAGAACAATATTATGAACAGAAGTTAGTAAAAAATGCGTCAAATTTGATGATTTTGGTGGTCTATAGCCCATGCATTTTCACCAAAAATGCGTCAATTTCTAGAACAATATTATGAACAGAAAAAAAAAATAGCTATTGTATGGATCCTCCTTACCCTCCCTCCTCCACAAAAAAAACTTTTTCCTCCTTTGGGCTTCCTTTGTAACGGTCATATGGCCAAAAAAAACTAGTGACGAGATAGCTCGCCCCCATTCTCCCTCTTTTGACAAAAAAAAAAGACAGGAAGCCCATGATTCTTAGTGATGCCTGCGGAGGAAAAAAAAAGACTGGCTGCAGTGGGTGCTTCTCCCATCCTTACTTTACTGAAAAAAATTTCTTTGGACACACACAGTGTATGTGGAGAAAGGATATGTTAAAAAAAATACATGTTGGCTCTTTTTTGTAAGACCCAATGTTGTCAAAGAAAAAAATGCAGTGAATAGTCTCCTTCACGATTCCCTGCGCCATCTTGGAAAAAAACCAAGCCTTTACAATGACAACTGTTGAATTTGCAATGATAGAAAAAAAAGAATAATTGTCTGTAGGTGTGTGAACGAAGGCTTCTATCACTAAAAAAACATTCTTGTCTCATTTTAATGTTAAGGCATGACTACCTTTCAAGATGGCGCAGGGAATCATGAAGGACTATTCCTTTTAAAGCTCAGAATTAAAAAAATAACACAATGCTCCTGTATAAACTCCAAGTCTACCCCACATGGCTCAATGCCTCTTCTCATATCTAGTCTTGTTTTTCAGGTTATTAAACAAAAAAAACAGCCTTGGTAAGGAATATATTATATGGCAAGAAGTGGTTGATAACAATGTCAAGGTTCTTCCAGACACTGTTGTCAATGTGTGGAAGGGAGGATGGCAGGCAGAGATGGCAAAAGTTACTGGTACATTTGGTCTGAAGGAAAAAAAGTCATCATGTTGGTATTTGAATTACATCAGCTATGGACTAGAAAAAAAAAAGGTGATCTTGCAATATTTCATTTTATCGAAAGAATGATATAAAAAAATTAGAATAAAATTGCATGGGAATTGGAGGTACAATAATTTTTAAAAAAAGGGATAGATGGAATAAAATGTTGCATGACAAGTTGAGCGGTTAAAAAAATCATGTTTCTCTGCCAATAATAGAGAGTTTAAGCATTACGTTAAAAAAAAACGGCTAACGACAGAACTGAACTAATGACCWAAGAATTTCGAAAAAAACCTTGTGCTTTTGGTAGTCATTGGAAAGAGCGAGTGTTCACGAAAAAAACAAACTCAAACTTACCCACTCTGGCGTTGAAACTGTAACGGTAAAAAAAAAAAAAGCTGGTCACGTGATCTTTTCTGCCGTTTGCAGTTTGAAAAAAACGTCATGCTAAAGCTCTCTAATAATGATTATAAGTGTTATTAAAAAAAACATTGTTTGTTTTGTAACAGTACTATCAGTGCGAGCCAACAGAAAAAAACGGAACGGATGCACAGAAAGAGCTTGTCATTGGTGGGACTGGAAAAAAATGGGGTGAATGGGTTGACGGCACCAATATATTACCAAGAACAAAAAAAATGTATTAGCAATTTAATATTAGTGATAATTAGAAGTGCTGATAAAAAAATCATCAGCATCATAGTGGGGACATTGAACATAAGTTGTACATAAAAAAATAGTTATTTATTTGGTATAGCAAAATAGAAAATAGATTCTAAAAAAAAATGCTTTATTCATCAGCATCATAATTGCAATATAAGACATAAGAAAAAAATTATTTGTCACTGTCATTATTGGTGCCTGGTCACGAGTAATAAAAAAAAAGGGCTGTTTTATTTGTCACTGTCATTATTGGTGTGGTTTACAAAAAAAATATTATTGATGAGTAATGGTGTTTTTGTTAGGCCGCGTGCAAAAAAAATTGCTGAAAGACTTTGGAGTAGCAAAGAGACCACAGATCTGGAAAAAAATGGAATGAGGATTTGGGAACACAGATGTCGTTACTTAAGGTAAAAAAAAAAAAATCTTGTAATGATATTGCAGAGACTAGAGAATGATAATAAAAAAACTTATTGCTAAATGTGTTTTATTGCTTTCAGACGTGGTATTCAAAAAAAAAATGCAATTCAATCCAAGTACTGCAGACATGAATGGCCACTTGATTGAATTACCTGATAGATTGTTTGCTGTATCTGTTCAACATAGTCATGTAGATGCAAATTAAGTTGTTGACAATGGCTTACACTCGATAGATGTCAAAAAAAATAAATGGGAGCAATTTGTAATGTTATAGAAGTTATTATCTTAAAAAAAACTTCATGTGGTCGAAATATTCACATTCAATGTGAACACTTACATGCATGAGTCAACTTCCAATGCAACATGAAATAAGTTGTTTTCCTGGAAAATACCAGAATAATCCTTGAATCGATCAGTTAAAGTCACGTGATTATAAAAAAATAACTAGAAGTCATTTTCTATYCTCAGCAGTCCTGGCTAGCAAAAAAAATTCAACTTTATTGACTATTTTACATTGATTATAAAGAAAATTGAAAAACCTGTGATTATACATGGAATAATAGAATTATCAACAATAAATGATTAATATAATTGAATTTCCTCTGTTTCTTTTAAAGAAAAATCTTTTAAAAAAAAATTACGTTTCTACAAATAAAAATTGAAGCAAATGTATTACAGTAAAAAAATATTCACTCAATTGCCAAACAAAATTCGAAGAAAAAAATATAAAAAAAAACAATATATAACTTGTAAAGCGTATCAAAATAGTGCGCGGACAAAAAAATTTAGATTCCTTCACGCAACCCCTCTCACGACGCCTCACGCAAAAAAAAACTCAACATCAAGTCAGTCACATGACTTTGCGTGGAGAGGAAAAAAAAAAGATGTATAGACACTTCTCCTTTCTTATTTTTGCGCTTTTCTAAAAAAATGTGCAAAGCAAATCTCTATCTGATCCTCTAAACCTGCGAAGAAAAAAATATCATGTGAAAGCTCCTTCAGACGACTATGTGACAGGCTCAATGTGGCCGAAACCACAACGTCAAAGCCCTACAGGAGTAAAATTCTCTCTCATGCCGAAGTCTTTTACTTTTCAAATCAACGGTAAAACTAGCGMTGTAAAAAAACAAGCTGTGCAACGATACAAAGCTATAACATTTCCTGATGCTAAAAAAAGTAAAGCAGCACCCAACCTGGACGTTATCGAAAGCTTGGAAAAAAAAAACTTGGGTGACTATAAGAATTTGACACTGGAATCAGACGAATCAAAAAAAAATTTGGGTGAATGCATAAAAATAGCACAATATACTATATTAAAAAAAAAATGAATGCAGTTATTAAGTAGGCTTTATTGCCAAGTCCCTGAAAAAAAGTGGGATGGATGAGCCTAAAAGTTTAAACATGCATTCATAATAAAAAAATTAAGGCCAGTAACTTTATTTAACTTTGTATTATTTTAACTTAAAAAAACTCTCTCAGTGTTGAAGGTGTGTTTTCTGAGGCCATCCTAACAAAAAAAAAATAACAAACAGTTATAATCTTGTTTTAGATGCGTTGGTTGTAAACGCCCCAAAGTCAGTTCTAACAGCTTATGAAGTCTGGGGTGCTCTAAAAAAAAAAACACAGATGTGTTAGAAACACACTGTTATTATATACAGCAAAAAAATAAAGCAGAAAAGTCAATGAATGTAGTCATGTAGTGAGTAGGAAAAAAATTGCAGTGGTCATGGCTTATTTAGCTTGTTTTCAATCGTTTCAAAAAAAATAAAGACAAAAGATTTTCAACCATGTTGATGGTTATAATAGAAAAAAAGAGGCATGATGTGAATGCAAATTCTTTTGTTAGAGTACAAGCAAAAAAAACTTGGATCTTGATTTATCCAACAAACAGCAATAAGATAGATAAAAAAAAATTGAAGTATTTTAATCTAGCAATTTGTGATTTCAGGTCTGAAAAAAATCAGTCAGGTTGTATACCAGGATGAAAACAATCTTGTAAGTGAAAAAAAACGGTTCATTTGTTCAAAGATATAATGTTAATCTAAGTACAGAAAAAAAGTGATTAATTTTGACTTTGTGTTTTAGTATTACGCTAAAGAGAAAAAAATTGTTGATTATCCACGTTTTCGTTACCGTGGAATGTTAATGGATTCCTCTCGACATTACCTCAAACTCCCCGTCATTTACAAGTTTCTGGTAAAAAAAAAATTCTGCATACCTGTTAGTTAGAACTCAGAGAGGCTCAAAAAAAAAACTATAAGCTGCAATCGTTAATGATGAAGATAATGAAAATGATAAAAAAAATAAATTGATGCAATATTTTTTTTGCTGCAGGATGCAATGTCAAAAAAAAAGATGAATATTCTTCATTGGCATATTGTGGATGCTGAAGCTAAAAAAAATCACAGTGAAATGTTTCCTCAACTTAGTGGCAAGGTTGTTAAAAAAAAATGATTAATAAGTCATGACTTCCTTATCAAGATCAGTTGATAAAAAAAAAGTTATTGTTACATTTTCAGGGCTCATTTAACAACAAGACTCAAAAAAACACGGCAGATGATATCAGCAAAGTAATTGAGTATGCAAGACTACGAGGAATAATGGTTATACCAGAGTTTGACACTCCTGTAAGTTACTTTAAAAAAAGATATTGATTTTAGACAAAAGAAAACAAAGTTATTAGCAAATCTAGAAGAACTTGCATGCACAAATGTCATTCAAAGCTATCAATTTCGTGAAAAAAAACTCCAATTATATTGCTTGTAGAAGTAATTTAATGCCTATATAAAAAAAATTTTAAGGGACATACAACGTCATGGCAAAGCATAGAGAACTAAAAAAACAAGTGTTATAAGGGTGGCAAACCTGATGGGTACGTTGGTTGAAGAAAATTGAAAATATTGCTAGATTGTTTTATTTTTCTGTTCTATTTTAAAAAAATGTCACACMACATAAGAATGCATGAAAGCACAGAGGGCTGTTAAAAAAACTTTAAAACATATTAAAACTGAGTTTTATTTCCCATCATTCTAAAAAAAAAATATATCTTCAGTATAAGCATGAGCGATATAAAATTGTTCAAAAAAAATTTGTGTAGAACACTTGGTCCTGTGGATCCTACTGTTGAATCAAACTATGAATTTCTTGAGAAGTTTTTCACTGAAGTGACACATCGTTTAAAAAAAAAGTATATTCACCTTGGCGGTGATGAGGTCAACCAAGATTGCAAAAAAAGTAACCCTAATATTGCAGCYTGGATGAAASAACATGGGATGGAAAAAAATTACTCCATGTTGAACCAATACTACTCACAAAGGTAGGCAATAAAAAAAGGATGGGTTTGAATGGAAGAGAGAGTGGGAAATAAAATGACAACAGCAAAGTGATTGATTATATTTTCCTAGGTTGGTAGATATTGTTGCTAGCCTTGACAAGGAGTATGTGGTATGGCAGGATGTTGTAGATAATCCAGTTAAAGTACTACATGACACTATCATTGATGTCTGGCGACCAGGAAGTGACCATGGATGGCAACCTGAGATGGCAAGAGTTACTGGCAAGCTTGGTTTGAAAAAAATATTRTCATCCTGTTGGTATCTTGATTTGATTAGTTATGGACAAAAAAAGCCTAAGGTAATAAGCCTACATGTATTCCAGATTTCCTGGAATATTGTCTGGAATGTGGTGATCATGTGATTAACTTGTATTGTGATTGGTAAAAAAAATTGTCCATTTTCTTGTAGTATTATAATTGTGAGCCAACAGGCTTCAATGGAACAGATGCACAGAAAAAGCTTGTCATTGGTGGTCATGGGTCCATATGGGCTGAATGGGCTGATGGTACCAATATATTTTCAAGAACTTAAAAAAATAACACTTTTGCAATGAAATCAAAGCTTCCAATCAACCAGTTAAAAAAATAACCCATCAATCATTAAGTCAATCTCACATCAAGATTCATGGTATTTTCTATGCTAAGCACAATATCTTGAGTAGATAGCTAGTATTTGGAAAAAAAGTGGGGGGACCTGATGTTTTAGGTTGTCATAGCTGATTGTTGAAAAAAATAGCTGCTCTGTATTGCTACTTATTAATGTGTTTCTCTTAGGAAAAAAACTTTAGCTGTTGCTGAAAGACTTTGGAGCAGTAAAGATACCACTGATCTGACAGATGCTTCAATGAGGATTTGGGAACATAGATGTCGCTACTTACTGTGAGCATTATTATATCAGAGTGTATTACTGTTGGATTATTTCAAAAAAAAGGATAATGTTTGATTGCTTGTTTGCAGGCGTGGTATTCCAGCTGAAAATGCAATTGAAGCAAAATACTGCAGAAATGAATGGCCAGTTAACATGTGATGTATGCTGTTCTACATTCAAGCGCATGATTAAAGTGACCCTACAATCACTGTCGATTGTATAAGTAACAAATATGCCAATATGCATTGTGCAGCAAAGGATGATGGTAGTTCAGAGTCCTYKTACTTTTTTATGTCCACAAAAAAAGTCCTCTTACCCAGTTTTTTTTTCTTTTTATAACTGAGAAAAAAAAAAATTGTGCCGTTTTTAAACATAAAATGTAAAAACGGCTTTTAAGGAGATAATTTAGTGTCTATGAAAAGTGTGAGGACAAAAAACTACCATCAAAAAAAACTGAACAAAATGGCATCGCTGCACATTACCAATTGAGACTCGAAAAAAATACTACAATGTACACGTATATCTGAGAAATTAGAGTTTATTCAAAAAAAGTGTAAAACACTGAGATTAAAGAAAAACTCACTTTTTAGCATACTACATTCTYTCTTTACATGTTGTATTTCTCCTTTACTAGAGTAATCAAAAAAAATCCRTGCAACTGTACAAACTAAATATGATGTTTAGGTATATTTAGTAAATCGTGCATGCGATACGCAAATTAAAATTAAATTGATACAAATAAAAAAATCAATACCGTMTTGCTTCAGGTCCACTTTTAGTACAAATTAGAAAAAAATAGATTTTGTACAGTTGCACGGTTTAAGTGMGTTCACTMTACAAAAAAATTATTGACCTTTGTTTCACAGGTTTAGAAAAACCACTGACTTAAAAAAAAATGTTTAAAACTGTTTTTGGTCTCGAAGGGAAAACTTGGGTAAAAAAACCTTTTTACTCAATGGTAAAACGAAACAAAATGTAACCAAATAAAAAAAGACAAAATAAACTGTAAATAATACTTCTTTAATTGTTTTTATAAAAAAACAAAAGATGGAAATCAGCAATTTAAAACTCTACAAGCAATAGAAAAAAATCATCATATCCATGAAACAAATAGTGTGTCAATAAGCACAAAAAAAAAAAAGGCCATCTATTTCAAGGTTTTTTGGCTTCACTCCAACACTAAAAGTGTGCAAGATAAATACATAGAGTGATCGCACTTAATCTGTGCAACTGTACAAACTAAATAGTGATGTTTAGTTGCATTTAGTAAATCGTGCATGCGATATGCAAATTAAATTGAATTGATACAAATGAAGCATTCAGGTCCACTTTTAGTACAAATTAGTACTATTTAGATTTTGTACAGTTGCACGGTTTAAGTGCGTTCACTTCATGCTGCTAAATTGTGCAATTGTTTTCTATTCTTAAAAAAAGACTATTTAGCAGTAAATACTGCAAAGTATCCCACACTTTTAAAAAAAAAACTCAAATATTCACTACATATTTATGAATCCTAGTGTCCTCAAAAAAAAAATATACCTAAATACATGTAATACCCATGATTATTTATAAAAAAAAAAACAATATCACTTGTCAAAATCCATTTTTAGCATATAGGAGTAAAAAAAAAATTCCAAGGAAACTTAGAACTGTTTTAATATAAATCCGAGTAAAAAAATTCAATTATAAAAAGAAAGCAAGTTGTTGAAATACAATCTTTCAACTTTATGAAAGTTATACTACTACTATTGTTAAATTCAATTTAATTGAAAAAAAAATTTGTATTCAGTGGTGAAAATGATCTTTCATAATACATGTAAAAAAACAGTTTTCTCATGAAATATTTTGAGAAAGGTACTAAACTTGTAAAAAAAGGATTTGTAGTTGATGGTCATCATATGACAAGTTCAGTATCAAAAAAAAGTGAATCATTAATTCAATCAKTGATATAATCTATAACTTTCAAAAAAAAATTTTTAATTCCCCTCCTCCATAGGTTGGTCTTGTTGTTGCTAAAAAAAACTTGACGCATTAGGTTCGTAAAATGTTGGCTGGAAATAAATAAAAAAATCAATGAAAAGCCAAAAAAGGAGATTGCTTCAAAGAGAAGTCAAAAAAAGGAAAATTGACATGCAAAAGACTCAATACATGTAGTCTTCTTAAAAAAACCCTGCACAATCTTGAAAGGTAGCCATGCCTTTGCATTGAAGAAAAAAAACCATTGAGCATGCAATAATAGAAACCTTCTTTCACACCTACAAAAAAAAGTCTCCTTCACGGTTACCTGCGCCATCTTGAAAGGTAGCCGAAAAAAAGCATCGAAGCGAGACAACCGTTGAGCGTGCAATGATAGAAACAAAAAAAGAATTGTCTGTAGGTGTGAAAGAAGGTTTCTATCATTGCACGAAAAAAACTTGTCTCGCTTCGATGCAAAGGCACAGCTACCTTTCAAGATAAAAAAAGTAACTGTGAAGGGGACTATAATATTACTCACAAGGATCTATAAAAAAATGCTCAACAGTTGTCTTGGTTCTATGCAAAGGCACGCTACTTAAAAAAATGGTGCAGGGAACCATTAAGGAGACTTTTACCAATTACTTTTAAAAAAAAAATTGAACAACAAAAAGTACATAGAGCGGATTTCGTATGAGAAAAAAACGGACGGTACTGTACTGTGGCCATAATCGTACTCTAATGCTAAAAAAAATGCCCCATTGGTTCACCAAAATTGTGCAGGCCAGGTGCAGTAAAAAAAAGGTAACCGTGTCCCACTCATACGAAATCCGCTCTAATCCTTTAAAAAAATTGTCATGTCAGGATTGTTGTACAAAATATATCAAAAATATCAAAAAAATTGATCTTGTTTTTATAAATGTATATTGTTGATTTTCAGACTAAAAAAATCAAGGCTTCATGAGGTAAAATTATTATTATTGTTCTCTTCTAAAAAAAAATTTTTTTACAATCCGCTCTAAATTTTTTTAAAATCCGCTCAAAAAAAAAACAAGTCACTATTGTGAATGCTTTATCCAATTCAACTACAAAAAAAATGCTCAATTGACACATCTAGCAATCATACCGTCGTTGGTGGGTGGTTGACTGTTCCACCTTCGCTTCCGGCTTCCTCTTCATCGCTGTTCTAAAAAAAAGATGAATCTTCATTGGTGTCCTTAGCTAAATTAACACAAGAAAAAAAACATTTACATACTTACCATCAGACATTTCTACTTAGATGACTGAAAAAAATAATCCGGAGCTCATCAAAATGAACAGATCTAATCTAGAGCGAAAAAAAATAGCGAAGATGTCAATTGGCTAAAAAGCGGGCCGTACGTTCAAAAAAAGACCAGATGAAATGAGAAAAACTTTATTCATCATTGAAAAAGAAAAAAATCCCTCTTTTTGTAGTTGCACTGTATAAAACAGAGTCAAAAAAAAAAAAAAATTTTGTAATTGAGGTTGACTTTCAAGAGGAAACATTCCCAAAAAAAGACACAATGGGTTTTTATGTCCGATTTTCTATTCATTTTACTAAAAAAACCTGAAAATGCTATATAATAAATATCTTATTAACCTTGCTTGAAAAAAAGTCAACGGAAAAAAACTTGGTCCATAACTTTCCATACAGCCCAAAAAAACAGTTAATAATAAGATATTTTATCTGTGAACTGTGAACATTAAAAAAAATCTACCTTCAGGTTTTTTGTCTTGTTGACCTTTGCCTTTGTTAAAAAAATCAAAGCAGGTATTGCAAACACGAAGAGGTTTGGATGACTGGAAAAAAAACATAGTCTTCTTAGCAGAGCAAGCTCCGCATACTACAGCACAAAAAAATCGACAATGGTGCTAGTGAAATAATATACAATGTAAGTTTGTAAAAAAAGTTAAACATGTTTAAATAGTGCATTCAATGGACCAGCTGTCTAAAAAAATTAATGGTTATATATTGTTCCTTATTGTCTATAATAATCTGTAAAAAAAATGAAGGTTACTATGAATATTCAAATGTTTTCTTAATGATCAAAAAAAATACAATGTAATGATCAAGTGTTCTTTTAATGATTAAGTGTTCAAAAAAATGATGAATTATTCTTTTTAATGACCCATTGTGTTCTTTGTTTAAAAAAAGGTTCTTACCCGACGATTGATTGCAGTAAATTTAGTTTTCATACAATGCATACAAGTTGATGCTTCACTATCAGGMACCCAAACTGCTGCAAAAAAAACAGAAGCTTTCTTGCCAGCTGTAAATAAATAATATTATTAATAAAAAAATCACACAGCTTAACACTGACCAGAGAGACTCAGTCAAATATAAAAAAAATATGAAATCCTTGAAGAGTTTCCTCTGTAAGAACCATGAGTAAAAAAAATGAACTTAAAAATACAATCAATCTTTATTAAGGTACCTGCACAAAAAAAAGTGTATTTTGAAGGTTTTCTAAGAAACTGAAATTTTGTCCAAAAAAAAACTTATATATGCCATTTGCATATCTGAACTTTTTTTGCAGTTAAAAAAAATATAAATGAGAATCAGCTTTTGATTGATTTCTGCATGGCTTAAAAAAAGAGGGTGAATGCTAAATAGAGGGGCTGACTTTTTACMGTAAAAAAAAAACAGCTGACAGACTTACTCTTTGCAAAAAGGTCTTGAATACATTTATTTATGTGTGCCATCCACTCAGCCTTCTCTGTAGCAGTTGCTGCATAAAAAAAAAATGACTTTCTGGAACTAATAATTTGCCATCCGTTTTTTAAAAAAAAAACACAGGAAACCCAACACATAAGCCACACACCAAGTAACAGTAAAAAAATATCTATAGTTTTATCTGTCTTCTGGGTTGTGTAAATAGCAAAAAAAAAGATGGTTGAGAAAATTCTATGAAAAAGCTCTAAATCTATACAAAAAAAAATTTAAATATACAGTACGGCTCATTTATACCTATCATTGTGAAAAAAAATCAAAGAAACATTTTGTTTTTTCCTTAAGAAGAAGTTGCAGAAAAAAAACTATG